GACTGCAGACTGACTTTAGAATAATTAAAATGATCTTAAGATGATTTAGGATTGTAATGCCTGACATGCCTTGACACATTTGAATGTTTTAAGTGTTCATTACTGTGCATTGTCCCTGCCAAATAAACGATTAAATAAAAATTAACTCGCGTGTTCAGAATCCATGGTTTCCCCAGTGACATAGTTTCCGACAGAGGACCACAGTTCATTTCCAACTTCTGGAAGGAGTTTTGCCAGCTCCTCTGTGCCACCGTCAGCTTATCTTCCGGCTATCACCTGCAGTCCAACGGTCAGACAGAGCGCCTGAACCAAGACCTCGAAACATGCCTCAGGTGCCTCGTGTCCCAGAAGCAGACCACTTGGAGCGATCACCTTACCAGGGTAGAGTACGCCCACAACACTCTCCCCTCGGCTGCCACGGCTCTTTCCCCTTTCCAGTGTGCTAACGGGTACCAGCCTCCTCTCTTCCCTGCTAATGAGGAAGAAATCAAGGTTCCATCCGCGCACGCCATGGTCCGACGCTGTCGGCGGGTTTGGGCCGGTGCTCGGCAGGCGCTACTCCGGACCTCGGCCCGGATGAAGTCAGCGGCGTATCGTCACCGGCATTCGGCCCCCCTCTACAGGCCGGGCCAGAAAGTCTGGCTCTCCACCAAGGATCTACCCCTACACGTTCACTCCAAAAAGTAGGCACAGAGGTTAGTGGGCCCTTTCCCAATTTCAAGAGTCATTAACCCTGTCTCTGTGCGCCTCAAACTCCCCAGATCTTTGAGGGTCCATCCCACGTTTCATGTGAGCAAACTCAAGCCAGTTCGAGAGAGCACTCTGGTTCCCACCTCCAAGCCCCTCCACCACCCCGGATCATTGATGTATGATGTATGATGTATGATGCCGGTGTATACAGTCAGGAAACTTCCGGCGGTCTGCAAACGGGGCCGAGGACGACAAATCTTGGTCGATTGGGAGGGTTACGGCACTGAGGAGCGTTGCTGGGTCGACTTTCGCTGTGGACAAGACACTCATCAGTGACTTCTATGATCGTCACCCTGAGCAGCCTGGGCCTTCGGGAGTCGGTACTGTAGTGTCCCGTCAAATATGTTAAGTGTTGTCATGTTTGTGATTGTCATGTTCATGCTAGTTTAGTTTATGTTCCACTTCCTGTTTTATTTTGTACTCATCATGTCTCATTCCAGGTCCCTTTACTTCCTGCCTTGGTTCTTTTTCCCGCCATCGTCAGCGTCTGCCCCGCCCCTGATTGTTTCCACCTGTGCCCACTTACCTCATGTATATATTGTCCTGTCTCCCCTTGTTAGTTGTCGGTTTGTATTGTTCATTCGTTCCATGAAGCAATGATCCAAGCCATCATTTAAAGGGATAGTGGAAATCTGCAAATGTTGGGTTTAACTTATGTATTTTTATTAAAAATAAGCATAATAAACAATTTTTTTTTATTTCATGCGCCTAGTTTCATTTTATTTTCAATTTTACTGCGCCCTCTCAATGAAACGAAATACTTCGGGAATCGTCGGGAATCTTCGGGTGATGACGAGAGCATAGGAAGACGGGCACAAACAATGGCGGACATTCAATAGCATTTGCATGTGAATAGCCGACCTTTATTATGGTGAATAGATGTGTTTTGTATGGCTGTAGTGCTACGTGACACAACGACATTGGATTAACCTTGAGATGCGTTTTTATTCCGTTGAACACAACTTTTGATCACAAATCAAAAAAGGGAAGACGTAATTATTGTAATATTTTTGGAACCGGATGTTGTTTACTTTCTCTTTTCTGGCTGATAGCTCCAGGAATTCGAGGTCTTACAGTGATGACATTACATGTGTGGAATCTGTGGAGTCTCAGCTTTAAATCGTATATCTTGTTTGTGCAGTTAAGATAGTAATAAGGGCATTTCTACCGTGTGTTGTGTGTAAAAAAGCGTTAGCATTAGTTAGCATTGTTTCGCTCAATGCTAATTCAAAGGCTTGGTATTACTCTTGTGTTTTTTCTAGCTAACAATTGTTCTTATTGTCAGTTAGCGGAGTTTCTTACCTTTAAAAGGGTATGAAACATTAATAGTTTCATAAATGTTAAGAAGCCCTGAGACATGTGAGAGAAAAACAACTGTGGGAGGGGTCCACTGGGGGGACCTTCGGGCTTAACTGGTTAACAATGATTAATATTTGTAAAGGCTACAGGTGATCTTAAGATGCGTGAGCTATGCTTAGGGACCTACCAGTCAAGATTATTTGTGCGTAGGGGTGCATCATCTGGCGCCTGGTCCTGGTCATCCTCGCCATTGCCCATGCCGTGAACCATCACCTCGGGCTCGGGCTCGAACAAATAAGGACGTAATGGTCCATCGTCTGGCTCAATATTGTCACCATCGTCGCTTACTGAACCGGATTCAGATTCAGTTCCTAAAACGACATTTTCGTAGGAAAGCCGAGAGGATGTTTCTGACTCGCTATCATCACTGGATACCTCGTACAATCTTTTTCTTTGTCTGGTATATTTGCCCTTCCACGTTCATTCTGCATAGACGCCATGGTTTGTTATCGTATCGTCTTCCTAAGTTTTCGTCACTTCCGGTTTGGCTGAGTCGAACATTTCGTTTCTAAAAAACTTCGGGGAAGCTGCAATAAAGTGCTTCTAACATGCGTAAGGCAATTATTATATTTTTTTAATCAGGTGTGATTGTTTTGGTACGTAATTATGCTTGTATATAAGTTAAAACGAAACTATTTGAGGTTCCATTTCCACTATCCCTTTAAAGGACTCAGTGTTTTGCCTTTTATCCTCCATTGTGAGCGCTTAACTTTTGACAGTTTGTTATATCCTCTGGAAGAGTGATTTTGTTTTTGCAAAGTACATTTTCTTCAAACCGTTTTTGTCTCTAGGTTGTGTATTTGAGTCCTCATACTATTGAGTCAAGATTCTTAACAAGAAGAAAACATGGCAAGTAAGTCGAAGCACTTTTGGAGCTGTGGATGAATGTGCAAGTGGTATTGAACATTTCCAAGTGTGATCAAATGGAATAAAAAGATGACAATGACAAAGAGGTTCTTTGATCGAGGCCATACATGTACAAGACGAGATGTTAAGCTAGCAGTTGTCAATATTAACTTATTTATATAAAAACATTTGGATAATCGGCAATACAAATATATTTCATTGATTCATGGATTGGGATAATTGTATACAGTTGAGGACCAAAACATCATATATGTGAAAAATCAACCAACATCTATTTTAACATTACATAATATGTACCTCAGTAAGAAAAGATCTCCTTTGACACAACTGCCAGGAGTTAGATAAGCTACTGAGAACTTCACTTCTTTGTAAACTGAGAGAGAAATGTGAACCTTTTGAATAGAGTTGTCAATGTTGTTGTTATATTTTGTTGGCCTTTCTTTCCATCGCTTAATCCCTGTTGGTTTTGTTATAAGGCAGGACAATAGACCACTTCAGAGGGTGATGAAATCTGCTAGGCCCATTTCTGTCAGGACCCTACCTTAGAATCTCCCTTGCTGTTCACATCTCTCAATATGTGTGTCCTCTCTCTTGGAAACAACCTTTATTGAGCTCTCTGGCTTTGGCCCAGACTCGTCTGGGCCAAAGTCCCTGAGTGGAGCCAGGCCCGGGCTCTGACAGTAGGGCCTCAGAGCCTGGCTCATCCTCCCCACTGGAAAGCATCCATCCTGGTATTGAATTGAATTGTTTTTATTGCTTTCTGCCTGGAGGGGATTGTGACGACGCTAATAAGGATTTATGGGGAGGAGATACAGATGAGTGGCCGCACCCTTCACACCTCTGCTTTGCTAACTCATTCGTCATTTTCATCACTGCTCACTCCATCTGTCAAGGAGCTACATGTTGTTACTTAGTTTTCCAGTTGTTGGCTTCATTACCCGCTGATGCTTGTATACGTTTTTCAATTTATAGTAATTTCTCTTGAAAAAAATCAGTGAACTTTTTACCTAACCCCTGATAAATGTTTCCCCGTTTGTTTTTTGTTCTTTTTTTCTGGGGGGTTGTGCACAATAAAGAGGCTAATCAGGGTTTGTTGTGCTATTTATAATGCTGCCTTGAGAAGCTGCAGCTGTGACCTAACTACTTTATTCTTTGTTATTGTATTTTACTTTCAAAACATGTCCACCATTTGCTAAAAGCATTATGCCTTTATTATTTTGTTCTGGGTCTTATCCCCTTTACTGATCATTACTCAAGGCAGGGTATAAAAGGATGATGAGCTCAATACAAAGAATGCAGGGGATCATATCAGAAACAACAAATCAAAGCAGACCTGACTTTAAAGCAACTCTGCATAATACACAGGCTTCAGGTCAGATGTATTCATTTGAATGGCCAGTAGAAGTATACGTTTGCTGACCCTATTTTAGCCAATTTGGATAAACTCAATGATGCAAAAATTGAAGGCAAAGACAAAAATATAAAGCCAAGGCTTTGCAAAGTCATGCTCTTTAATTAAGAAGGACACTCAAATTAGTTGTGCCTCGCGATAGTAAAATGTGGCTGAAAATCTTAACCAAAGCATCTGTATTTCTCAGAACTCAGTTGTGTTTGATATTCAAACTGCGAGTCAGAACTGGATCTTCCACTGCTTAGTTCTGTGAAGTTCTCTTTAGCTCAAACACTTGCTAGTATCTTGTTCGCAAAAATGTTACGATTTTGTACCCAACTGTATGTGGAAATAGTAGTGGTGTTTGCCATTCGACTATATTTTAAACAACACAGTGTAAATGTTACTGACAATCCATAAAGAAAGCATTGTTGGAATATGTATTAGCTTTATTAAATGTATTACTCCACATTGATTGAGACACGAGTGTAATAGGATCATATTGTGATCATTTGATGTATCCGTTACACAAGGCAATGAGATGTTTTCTGATCTCCTAAATCTCTGTGGCTTTGCTTTCCTATCTGTATAGTCTGCTCCCTGCAATACACAAACCCACACACACACTCCTCACCTCCTTCTCGTCTGCATGGTCTCCCTCAGTCAGCGGGGCGTAGAGGATCATGTACTCAGAAGCCCCGGCGGCAATCTTCCAGCGGACCATCATGGTGCTGTGAGTGATATCAAACAGCTCCAGGTCGTTCACCATGGGCAGGGCCACTGAAGGACACAGAGACAAAACGTAACACTTCTACCAAACACATTGCATCCGTTTTTAAACAATGTATGGATTTTAAGTTAAAAAGGATTATTATCCCAAAGAATTTCGTTGTAATTTCCATGTGTCTCAATTTGACAATGATTTAGTCAAAAAGCTTGTCTTATAGTTCATTTTAGATTTCCGCAAGTCAGTGTAAGCTGATTTCTCTCTGATCTCAAAGCAGAGAAACAGCCAAATGTGCAAATACATTATATTTTCTTCAACATATTATTTGCTTGATATGATTTTAATAAAATTGCCAAGCTTTAAAGTTTGTTTCAAGTTTGCTGACAACACGACCGTCATTGGCCTGATCACCGGGGATGACGACACGGCATACTGAGAGGTCAGAACCGTGTTATCTTAGTGCCAGGAGAACAACCTCCATCTCAACGTCAGCAAAACCAAGGAGCTGATTGTGGACTACAGGAAGCAGCAGAGAGAGGGACACGCCCCCATCGCCATCAATGGGACTACGGTGGAGAGAGTCAGCAGCTTCAGGTTCCTCGCTGTCCACATCATTGAGGACCTGACATGGACTCATCACTGAGGACCTGACATGGACTCATCACTCAGGACCTGACATGGACTCATCACTCAGGACCTGACACGGACTCATCACTGAGTGAGGACCTGACACGGACTCTTCACTGAGGACCTGACACGGACTCATCACTGAGGACCTGACATGGACTCATCATTGAGGACCTGACACGGACTCATCACTGAGGACCTGACACGGACTCATCACTGAGAACCTGACATGGACTCATCACTGAGGACCTGACATGGACTCTTCACACCACCACCAAGAAAGCTCGACAGCAGCTCTTCTTCCTCCGCAGGCTGAGGAGGTTCAACATGGACTCCAGGATACTCTGTAACTTCTGCAGGTGCTCCATAGAGAGGATCCTGACCTTCTACAGGTGCACCATAGAGAGGATCCTGACCTTCTACAGGTGCACCATAGAGAGGATCCTGACCTTCTACAGGTGCACCATAGAGAGGATCCTGACCTTCTACAGGAGCACCATAGAGAGCATCCTGACCTTATGCAGGTGCACCATAGAGAGGATCCTGACCTTCTACAGGTGCACCATAGAGAGGATCCTGACCTTCGACAGGTGCACCATAGAGAGCATCCTGACCTTCTACAGGTGCTCCATAGAGAGCATCCTGACCTTCTACAGGTGCACCATAGAGAGCATCCTGACCTTCTGCAAGTGCACCATAGAGAGCATCCTGACCTTCTGCAGGTGCACCATAGAGAGGATCCTGACCTTCTACAGGTGCACCATAGAGAGGATCCTGACCTTCTGCAGGTGCACCATAGAGAGCATCCTGACCTTCTACAGGTGCACCATAGATAGCATCCTGACCTTCTACAGGTGCACCATAGAGAGGATCCTGACCTTCTACAGGTGCACCATAGAGAGCATCCTAACCTTCTACAGGTGCACCATAGAGAGGATCCTGACCTTCTACAGGTGCACCATAGAGAGCATCCTGACCTTCTACAGGTGCACCATAGAGAGCATCCTGACCTTCTACAGGTGCACCATAGAGAGCATCCTGACCGTCTACAGGTGCTCCATAGAGAGCATCCTGACCTTCTACAGGTGCACCATAGAGAGGATCCTGACCTTCTACAGGTGCTCCATAGAGAGGATCCTGACCTTCTACAGGTGCACCATAGAGAGGATTCTGACCTTCTACAGGTGCACCATAGAGAGGATCCTGACCTTCTACAGGTGCACCATAGAGAGGATCCTGACCTTCTACAGGTGCTCCATAGAGAGGATCCTGACCTTCTACAGGTGCTCCATAGAGAGCATCCTGACCTTCTACAGGTGCACCATAGAGAGGATTCTGACCTTCTACAGGTGCACCATAGAGAGGATCCTGACCTTCTACAGGTGCACCATAGAGAGGATCCTGACCTTCTACAGGTGCACCATAGAGAGGATCCTGACCTTCTACAGGTGCTCCATAGAGAGCATCCTGACCTTCTACAGGTGGCCCATAGAGAGGATCCTGACCTTCTACAGGTGCACCATAGAGAGCATCCTGACCTTCTACAGGTGCACCATAGAGAGGATCCTGACCTTCTACAGGTGCTCCATAGAGAGCATCCTGACCTTCTACAGGTGCACCATAGAGAGCATCCTGACCTTCTACAGGTGCACCATAGAGAGGATCCTGACCTTCTACAGGTGCACCATAGAGAGCATCCTGACCTTCTACAGGTGCACCATAGAGAGGATCCTGACCTTCTACAGGTGCTCCATAGAGAGCATCCTGACCTTCTACAGGTGCTCCATAGAGAGGATCCTGACCTTCTACAGGTGCTCCATAGAGAGGATCCTGACCTTCTCCAGGTGCACCATAGAGAGGATCCTGACCTTCTACAGGTGCTCCATAGAGAGGATCCTGACCTTCTACAGGTGCTCCATAGAGAGGATCCTGACCTTCTACAGGTGCACCATAGAGAGCATCCTGACCTTCTACAGGTGCACCATAGAGAGGATCCTGACATTCTACAGGTGCACCATAGAGAGCATCCTGACCTTCTACAGGTGCACCATAGAGAGGATCCTGACCTTCTGCAGGTGCACCATAGAGAGGATCCTGACCTTCTACAGGTGCACCATAGAGAGGATCCTGACCTTCTGCAGGTGCACCATAGTGAGGATCCTGACCTTCTACAGGCGCACCATAGAGAGCATCCTGACCTTCTGCAGGTGCTCCATAGAGAGGATCCTGACCTTCTACAGGTGCACCATAGAGAGGATCCTGACCTTCTACAGGTGCACCATAGAGAGGATCCTGACCTTCTACAGGTGCACCATAGAGAGCATCCTAACCTTCTACAGGTGCACCATAGAGAGTATCCTGACCTTCTACAGGTGAACCATAGAGAGGATCCTGACCTTCTGCAGGTGCACCATAGAGAGGATCCTGACCTTCTACAGGTGCACCATAGAGAGGATCCTGACCTTCTACAGGTGCACCATAGAGAGGATCCTGACCTTCTACAGGCGCACCATAGAGAGCATCCTGACCTTCTGCAGGTGCTCCATAGAGAGGATCCTGACCTTCTACAGGTGCACCATAGAGAGGATCCTGACCTTCTACAGGTGCACCATAGAGAGGATCCTGACCTTCTACAGGTGCACCATAGAGAGCATCCTAACCTTCTACAGGTGCACCATAGAGAGGATCCTGACCTTCTACAGGTGCACCATAGAGAGCATCCTGACCTTCTACAGGTGCACCATAGAGAGCATCCTGACCTTCTACAGGTGCACCATAGAGAGCATCCTGACCTTCTACAGATGCACCGTAGAGAGCATCCTGACCTTCTACAGGTGCTCCATAGAGAGCATCCTGACCTTCTACAGGTGCTCCATAGAGAGCATCCTGACTTTCTACAGGTGCACCATAGAGAGGATCCTGACCTTCTGCAGGTGCTCCATAGAGAGGATCCTGACCTTCTATTGTTTTCATTCATTCTTTCATTGTTATGCAGATGATACTCAACTATATTTATCAATCAAGCCTGATGAAATTAATCATCTAAATAAAATTCAAGACTGCCTTAAGGACTTAAAAACGTGGATGACCTTAAACTTTTTGATGTTAAACACGACCAAAACTGAAGTTATTGTACTTGGCCCGAAGAATCTACGAAACAAATTATCTAAGGATATACTAACTATGGATGGCATTAATTTGGCCTCCAGTGAGACTGTAAGGAATCTTGGTGTTATATTTGATCAGGATTTATCCTTTAACGCCCACATAAAATCAATTTCAAGGACCGCCTACTTCCATCTACGTAACATTGCAAAAATCAGGCATATCTTGCCTCAAAACGATGCAGAGAAACTAGTCCATGCATTTGTTACTTCAAGGCTGGATTATTGTAATTCCTTATTATCAGGGTGTACCAAGAAGTCAGTCAAGTCGCTTCAGCTGATTCAAAATGCTGCAGCTCGTGTACTAACCAGAGTTAGGAAAAGGGACCACATTACTCCTGTTCTGGCTGCCTTACACTGGCTCCCTATAGAACACAGGATAGAATTTAAAATGATTCTTCTCGCCTACAAAGCCCTTAATGGGCAGGCGCCATCTTACCTTAAAGAACTCATTATACCCTACTGTCCTACTAGGGCATTGCGTTCCAAGAATGCAGGGTTGTTGGTTGTTCCTAGAGTCTCTAAAAGTACAATGGGAGCCAGAGCCTTTTTTTATCAAGCTCCACATTTGTGGAATCAGCTTCCAGTTTGTGTTCGGGCGGCAGACACCCTATCCGTTTTTAAGAGTGCGCTTAAGACCTTCCTTTTTGATAAAGCTTATAGTTAGGGCTGATTAGATTCAGCCCCTAGTTTTGCTGATATAGGCTTAGTTTGTCTGGGGACATCTTACTTCTTCCTTCTCTCTGTCTATACCTGTGTACTCTCATGTTCCGATTAACCCAGCTTCCCCAAATGTCTTTCTTTTTGGTGTCTATATACGCCGGAATCCGGAGTCATGGATGATCCTGCGCTCCTCTGTCCTGGATCGCGAGCCCTGGATCTTGAGTCGTGGCTGTGGTCCTGGATCATAGGTCCTGGATGGATATCCTTGTGGATTCATCTTCCTATTATACACACATGCATTTCCAAACATTTGGACTACCTATGTTGCAAATGTATTATCTTTTCAATTTACACACGGCATCTATTGCACGTCTGTCCGTCCTGGGAGAGGGATCCCTCCTCTGTTGCTCTCCCTGAGGTTTCTCCCATGTTTCCCTTTAAACTGTGGGTTTTCTTTGGAAGTTTTTCCTTGTACGATGTGAGGGTCTAAAGACAGAGGGTGTCGTATTGTCATACTGATATTTTGTACAAACTGTAAAGTCCACTGAGACAAATGTAACATTTGTGATATTGGGCTATATAAATAAACATTGATTGATTGATTGATTGATTGATTGATTGATTGATTCTACAGGTGCTCCATAGAGAGGATCCTGACCTTCTACAGGTGTACCATAGAGAGCATCCTGACCTTCTACAGGTGTACCATAGAGAGCATCCTGACCTTCAGGTGCTCCATAGAGAGCATCCTGACCTTCTACAGGTGTACCATAGAGAGCATCCTGACCTTCTACAGGTGCACCATAGAGAGGATCCTGACCTTCTACAGGTGCACCATAGAGAGGATCCTGACCTTCTACAGGTGCACCATAGAGAGCATCCTGACCTTCAGGTGCTCCATAGAGAGGATCCTGACCTTCTACAAGTGCACCATAGAGAGGATCCTGACCTTCTACAGGTGCTCCATAGAGAGCATCCTGACCTTCTACAGGTGCTCCATAGAGAGCATCCTGACCTTCTACAGGTGCATCATAGAGAGCATCCTGACCTTCTACAGGTGCATCATAGAGAGCATCCTGACCTTCTACAGGTGCTCCATAGAGAGGATCCTGACCTTCTACAGGTGCTCCATAGAGAGCATCCTGACTTTCTACAGGTGCATCATAGAGAGCATCCTGACCTTCTACAGGTGCTCCATAGAGAGCATCCTGACCTTCTACAGGTGCTCCATAGAGAGCATCCTGACTTTCTACAGGTGCATCATAGAGAGCATCCTGACCTTCTACAGGTGCACCATAGAGAGGATCCTAACCTTCTACAGGTGCACCATAGAGAGCATCCTGACCTTCTACAGGTGCTCCATAGAGAGCATCCTGACCTTCTACAGGTGCATCATAGAGAGCATCCTGACCTTCTACAGGTGCTCCATAGAGAGGATCCTGACCTTCAGGTGCTCCATAGAGAGGATCCTGACCTTCTACAGGTGCTCCATAGAGAGCATCCTGACCTTCTACAGGTGCACCATAGAGAGCATCCTGACCTTCAGGTGCTCCATAGAGAGGATCCTGACCTTCTACAGGTGCTCCATAGAGAGGATCCTGACCTTCTACAGGTGCACCATAGAGAGGATCCTGACCTTCTACAGGTGCACCATAGAGAGGATCCTGACCTTCTACAGGTGCACCATAGAGAGGATCCTGACCTTCTACAGGTGCACCATAGAGAACATCCTGACCTTCTACAGGTGCACCATAGAGAGGATCCTGACCTTCTACAGGTGCACTATAGAGAGCATCCTGACCTTCTACAGGTGCTCCATAGAGAGCATCCTGACCTTCTACAGGTGCTCCATAGAGAGCATCCTGACCTTCTACAGGTGCACTATAGAGAGCATCCTGACCTTCTACAGGTGCTCCATAGAGAGCATCCTGACCTTCTACAGGTGCACCATAGAGAGGATCCTGACCTTCTACAGGTGCACCATAGAGAGGATCCTGACCTTCTACAGGTGCACCACAGAGGATTCTGACCTACAGGCGCACCATAGAGAGGATCCTGACCTTCTACAGGTGCACCATAGAGAGGATCCTGACCTTCTACAGGTGCACCATAGAGAGGATCCTGACCTTCTACAGGTGCACCATAGAGAGCATCCTGACCTTCTACAGGTGCACTATAGAGAGCATCCTGACCTTCTACAGGTGCTCCATAGAGAGCATCCTGACCTTCTACAGGTGCACCATAGAGAGGATCCTGACCTTCTACAGGTGCACCATAGAGAGGATCCTGACCTTCTACAGGTGCACCATAGAGGATTCTGACCTACAGGCGCACCATAGAGAGGATCCTGACCTTCTACAGCTGCACCATAGAGAGGATCCTGACTGACTATTTTTAAGATTCTCAGAGACTTTAAATATACAGGGTAAAATGATTCAAACATTTTAAACTCATAAAATACAACTTAAAAGATAAAACACCAAATATGAGTTTCGATTTGAGATCCGAGTATAGACATGTTGGTGCAGTGTCAGTTCTGTTTGGGGAGGGATTCCAAGAGGGATGGGTTAGCTAAGGAGAAGGCTATGTCCCCCAAGGTCCACAAATTATTTTTGATACAATTGTTTCCCCTCCAATAACCATCCTCTGTTGACTATAAGGCACACAGCTAAAGCACATCATTCCAACATCTATCAGTATTTAATGTCACGTTCTATTTGTTGCCATAGCCTAAACTAGCTTAGGCAGCTAATAATAGCAGCAGCCAAACGCCATTCACTTTGTTACTAGGTCGCCACCAAAGGAAGCTCCCCTCCTGTGCCGACAGGGGAGGAGTCCCCTGTCATTCATCAGCTAGAGCCAGGCAGTGAGAGGTGGGAGAATCCTGCCAGGCTGTGGTTCAGTGTTTCAGACCTCATGACGGAGCCTCAGGCTACAAGAGCAGAACTAGAGCTCACCACAGGACTTCCTGTCAGAGGCAGAGGATCAGGATCAGGCCTCCGATGCATAATGGAACACCTGTGCCGCTCTTATGGCCCATTTGTTGTGGGGATACTCTTGTAGGAGCCATGAAACATGTATAGTAATGTGTTTTGTTTTAATATAAGATATGTGTTTAATCACTATTGATTGGTTGGCTTGGGTCACATGGGTATGGGCGGCACTCATTATAATCATGTTCCCCTGCGTGAGGTGGGTGTGTGGAAGAGAGGGTGACACAGGGCCGTTGTACTTTTTGTTGACCGCAAGATTTATGATTGCTTTGATCATTAGTATTACAATAACTATGTCTGATCTCCGCGTATTTTTCATTAAACTACATTACAATTCAACAGAGTTCTGATCAGAGCAAGTACTCTTCTTTAGCGTGTCATACAGTATCAAACAGGCCCGGCCTCAGCGACTTTGTTTGTTTCAGGTACAATTCCTGTATTCCAAATGTTACTCAAGTACAAGTACAAAAGTATTGACATCCAATTATACTTTGTACAAAAAGTAAAAGTACTCATTATGCAGATTGCCCCATACTATAATATGTATAATATGTTTTAATTATAATTATTAATGTGTTATCAAGGGTTGTTTATATATATCATATTATTTATAATCCAAATCTGCAAATTAACTAAAGCCTCTGAATTGTAATAGGGTAAGTAAAAGTAGCAACAAATTGGAATACACAAGAAAAGTACTTTCCCTCAAAAGTGTATTTAAGTACAGAACTTGAGTAAATGCACTTGGTTTCTTTACACAACTGCCTGCTGATGGATCATCATTACTATCATTACATTACAATGTTCCTTATAAGACGCTTCCACCTAAAGCAACTTCCATATACTTAATACTGTGGACAATTCCCTCAGGAGTAGTTTGGTGTATTGCCCAAGTACACTGCAACATAATCAGTAGGTGACAAGGTCGAATGTAATCACTTTTCGTTTACACATGTTTTTTAACCAACATTGCATTTATTTCTTCTGCGTTTTTGGGGAGCAAAAGTCAAAAGTCAAAACAAGTAGAAGATAAACAGTATGTTATAACATCTCAATAATTATATTAAAAATTATATTTTACTTTAAAACTTCACAACCATAAGTGCATTTACTTTCATGTTTTGTTTTATTTCTATAATGCTTTAAAAAACTAGGTCAGGAACATTTCCACCATAAGCTGATTGCATTTATCCTTTATCTGTCTTTACCCCCTCCGTCTCAGGGTATAAAGGACGATGTGCTGGATACATAGAATGCAGGGGGAAATATCAGAAACACCATATCAAAGCAGACCTGACTTGAAAGAATCTCTATTCAAATTACAAAGGCTTCAGGGAAGATGTATTAAGTTCAATGTCCATTAGAAGTCTTCTTGACACGTCACACCTAAACTGCAAAAGTCAAAACAAATGGCAAAGGAATATGCAAAGCTGTTTAAAAGCATTAAAACATCTCTATTTAATTTGATATTTGACTTCCAAACACACATGTCCAAGGCTCTGAGGCCTGACATGCTTTATCAACGCTCAAAGTGAACATCGTCTTTAAGCCGCATTTACATAATCACTATTTTTGCTCTGGCATGGACACATCAGTTTCCTGAGAGTCTCTTGGTTCCTCCACAACGCATACACCATGGCCCCCAGCAGGGCGAAGATAGCCAGGGATTTGATCACAGCCCCTAACACTTTGATCCAGAGTCCAGAGTCTGCTGGTTTTCCTGGGAGGAAGAGAATCGTGCGGGCAGGGCTTTCTTCCTCACTTAATGGGTTCTTCATCCTGCAGGTGAAGGTTTTCACGTGTCCATGCTCTTCCTCGATGATGTCCTTCTGCAACTCCTTCCACTCTCCGTCCCCCGTCTTCCAGCTGTAGGTGACGGGTCCGGCCCCGGTGGTGTCCCCCTCGCAGGTCAGCTTACAAGGGCCTCTGGCTGTCAGAGGGGAGACCCTCACTTCGGGCTTGGGAACGTGTTTGATCATTACAGCTTTATATGTCTCACCTTGGACCTTGTTGTTAATCTCCACTGAATACACACCCTCGTCAGCTTTGGTCATGTTCTTGATCATCAAACGTCCGGTGTGCATATCCAGGGTGGCTGTTCCTTTGTATGTGCTGTAATACATACTTTCACAACAATCTATCAGCAAATCACCGTTACACGTCCAGAGGATGCTGGTGATATTTTTGGAAGGAAAAGGCCTCAAGTCCAACGTCAGACTGTTGCCCTCTTTAAAGTATATCTGTGTTTCTTGAGTAAAAGAAGAGCTGAGCTCCACCAACAGCAGACAAAGCACGACCACTTTCTCCATGTTCACAGCTCAGTGCCGGACTGAAAGACTTTTTGATTTCACATCAGCTTCAGTCTATCAGTTTCTGTCACCAAATTACGCCGACAGCATTTCCTTCCTCTTTTTGAGAAGACTAATCTTCTTCTTTAGAAAAAGAAAACAACAAATGGGCAGAACCTCTAAAAACGTAGATGTAACCATCCCACTTAGGCCTTTTCACAAACTGCTTTCTCTTTTACAACAATCAGACATTGAAATATTCTTCCAGCTGATCTTTAAACCGTTTCACACCTTTTCCCGTGTAGTGCAAACATCACTTAGTCTTGCCAACATAAAAGTTACTGCAATTTGAGATGTTTGTTTAAATGAATTGTAAAATTATATTTATATGACAAATGTACTAGTATTTATATTTATATATGTATATGATCTATTTGATTTGTTATTGTGATAGGCATTATGAAATGTTTTGATTGTTTGTTGAGTGTTATGTGTGACCTACCCAGGGACTACAGATGGAAATGAGCTTTAGCTATAATCTGGCATATATATAGCATCTCTTCTCTTCTTGAGATGTATGAATTTGTATTCATGGTCCTTAAGATATATAAAGCAAAACAAAAAGATTATGCATGGGGAAAAGAACTTGTTTGAAATGTATTCTCAGAATTTTACGCCAAATTCTGTAATAAAAAGTATATATGTATGAAATGAATAATATATTAAATATAAAAACAGAAAAGAAAAAAAATGGCTTTCGAAAGTTAGAATGATTGTATTGTGTTAAATGATTGATCTATTGTAGTTTGCTGTAACACTACCCACACTCCCTGCAACATTCTCCTGTGTCCTCTCCAAATATAAACGTACATGTAGTAGCACTTCCTCTCAGGGCCTCGCTGGCCGAGCTGCGGTAGACGGCAAAAACAGCCACCTGGTACTCCGTCAGAGAGTTCAGGTAATTCAGCTCCACACTGTTCTCTGTTCCCTGCACCACCTTAAACACAGATCACACAGGGTGTTAGCATGAAAGCTGCAGAACTGCTTTACACTCAGATATGAAGATCGTACAGTCTTAGTATTAGTTTTGGCATTTCTAAAATGTTTCAGTCTGTCAGCAAGCAAGTTTGTTTGCCATGATTATTGCTGTTTCAGCTACATCTCTGATATTGAAAAAATACTTTAATTAGCTCTGGTTCAGCAACCCTTTGGTACAGACAGCAGCATTATGTACATCACAAATCATTGAATTATCCAAAAATGCGGTGTTTACTGGGGAACTGTTGCTGTAGGCATTCAGCTCGTCTCCAAAGAGATTTAAATTGAGTGTAACTAGATCAGATAAGCTTTGATGAAACCTCAGTGTTCCTTGTGGGGAGACCGGGGCCATTCCAGCTGCACGTTATACATGTAATCCACATCAAAGGGAAAGTAGATACAAATGAGAGGGAACTGTATAAACATAAATATCAACTCAGAAAATTACAGCGATGCGTATGTGCAGTTATACAGGTAGGAAAACTTCCAACAACTTTTAAATCAATTTACCGCACAGGTTGTCAGGTTCCTACAGACAGACGACACTCAGACAGTTTATTAGGTACACCTATATGATTGTACTCTGAGATCCATTCACCTCTAATTTGTATGGGCTGATTTGGACTAAATAAAGAAAACTACAAACTTTGCAAAGAAACAAAAAGAAAATCTGAGATGCCAATCGATAAGGGACTTTCACTAATTCACTAGATTCTGATTCTTCAATAACAGCATTCTATGGTCTGTTGTTTATTTATAAATACAGATAAAAGATTAACACAGTTCTGATATTTTTGTTTATTTTAGCTAAGCAATCAAATAGATTTTAAATCAATATCCTTTGTCAAATGTCTTCTTTATTTAGTATTCTATAAGCCAGATAATTTACAGCAAACAAGTCATTATTGAGAAATGAAGGATTAAGTCATCCGCTTGTGACCGCTGTGTTTGGTGAAATAACCATTTGTGTGAGAATTTCTTCTGACAAATGACCGTCATGGCAGATCCCGATAGGAATAGTTAAGATCGCAGACGACCTCAATAATTATGACAAATGATGCATTTCTAAAGAGGGCTGATTCTGGTATTTAGCCTGACCTCATTTAGATAAATAGGGTGTACACAAATGTAACCTGTCTGCATATTGGATCAAAGCTTCAGGGGTTTCTGGAAAAAATCACTTTCTGGTAGCAGAATAAAGTTTTGAAATGTTGGGGGGCATGGTGTAATGAACCTGTAGAATTGTTGCTTTTCATGATGCAAATCACCTAAAAAACATATTGAAGTAAATCCTTACACACTTAGCTGAGCAGCCTCTATTAAAGTGCTGTCACTACATCAGTAATTAAGCATTTTTGTTATCGTCTGCTGGGAATTCAGAAACAAAGTTACACCAATTAAGAGACTGTAAGGAAACCCCCTCTCATATTTGACGAGAAGCAAGAGACTCAGGTCTACCACATATTAACCAGAGAGTTGGAAAACAACTCCAATGAAACTTAAATTCTTAAACAACTTTACAGATTCTATCAGCAGCCAAGTGCAAGAAGTATGAGAATCACAGGAGTTAGTGCAAGACTAAATGTAAACTGTAGTGATCATGTAAGAGAATGCAACAAATAAAGTAATTTCCATCCTTGTGTTATAGATTTAAAAAGTAAATATTGCAGGTACTTTTTCTTCCGGCTGTCCTCCGCTGGCTGGGTAGTAGACCACGCGGTATTTCTCCACCTGGCCCGACGCGTGCGTCCATCTCACCCGGAAGGTGCGGGCAGTGATCTCTGATGTCACCAGGTCGCGGGGCGGCTCCATAGAGGTGGGTTGGGGGTCAGGTTCTCTTCCCACTGGAGAACAAGCAGAGAAAAAGAAAGAACACATCTATTTCATGTTGGATTTACTCTCAAATGTTGATATACTTAACAGACAACATAAACAAAGAGTGGGATTATATGGAACAAATGGAACAATAATAATAATGATAATAGTATAGTTTGGTATATCGTGCATTCGACAGAGTTATTTGAAATGTATTATTATTGTTATTATTATTATTATTATTATTATTATGGATGTTCATGTTTTTATAGTTTATAGTTATTTATATATTTTATTTTATTTGTCCACGTGGGAAGATTTGGTATGCAATTGAAAGATAAGGTATTCATTGTGACCGTTATCTTTTTTCCTCTTATTTATTTTTATCTCGTCTGTTCTTCATTAAAAATAAAAATAAAAATAGATGTAAATAGTGCATGTATATACAGTGGAGGAAATAAATGGATCCCCTGCAGATTTTGTTAGTTTGCCCACTTACAAAGAAATGAACAGTCTATATTTGTAATGGTAGGTTCTTATAAACAGTGAGAGTAAGAATATCAAAAAGAAAATCCAGACATTGACATCATATAAAAGATAAACATGGATTTGCATTTAACTGTGGGAAAGAAGTATTTGATCCCCTTGCAGAACATGTGTTAGTACTTGGTAGAGAAACCCCTGTTGGACACACAGCTGGTCTCCAGGTCTGTGCATATCTCAGGAAGGATGTTGGTCCACTCCTCTCTGAAGTTCCTCTCCAAAACCTTCAGGTTTTGAGGCTGTTGCTTGGCATCTGGAAGCTTCACCTCCCTCCACAGATGTTCTATGGGATTAAGGTCTGGAGACTGGCTAGGCCCCTCCATCACCTCAATGTGCTTCTTCTTTAGCCACTCCTTTGTTGCCTTGGCCGTATGTTCAGGGTCATTGTCCTGCTGGAAGACCCCTCCATGACTCATTTTCAGAGTCCTGGCTGAGGGAAGGAGGCTATCTGCCAAGATTGTTTTACGGTACATGTCCCCGTCCATCCTCTCCTCGATGCAGGGAAGTCCTCCTGTCCCCTTAGCAGAGAAACACCCCCAAAGCAGAATGATCCATTATGGTGCAGTGTGTTACCAATAGTTTTCTTGGTGACTGTGCTCCCAGCTGCCTTGAGATCATTAACAAGTTGCTCCCGTGTAGTTCTTGGCTGATTCCTCACCAGATCTTGTGTGGAGCCCCAGAAAGAGGGCCATTGATTGTTGATTGATGCCCATTTTTTTCCCCATCCATTTTCAAATAATGGCACCAACAGTTGTCTCCTTCTCACCGAGCTGCTTTCTGATGGTCTTGTAGCCAATCCCAGCCTTGTGCAGGTCTACAGTCTTCTCTCTGAGGTACTTGGACAGCTCTATAGTCTTGCCCATGGTGGAGAGGTTGGAATCTGATTGATTGATTCTGTGGACAGGTGTCTTTTATACAGGTACTACTTTCTTAAAGGAAGAGGACTTGTGTAACCGTCTGTGGGAGCCAGAATCCTTGTTGGTTGCAAGGGGATCAAATACTTATTTCCCACAGTTAAATGAAAATACATTTTTAACTTTTATACAATGTCAATTTCTGGATTTTATTTTTGATATTCTTACTCTCACTGTTAAAATAAACCTACCATTACAATTATAGACTGTTCATTTCTTTGCAAGTGTGTAAACGTTCAAAATCTGCAAGGGATCAAATACTTATTTCCTCCACTGTATATATACATACAATATTTATATCTCGTTTTTGTTCGTTTTGAAATGAAGAACATATATATATATACATTTATATATATATATATATATACACATACATACATATTAAGATGAATCTAAAAATATCCAGTTTTATATGCAATCTTCTACACTTTTTGCAGAAGTGGAAAATGAGACTGTGAAAACATGACCTGCTGTTTAAGCAGCATGTATGTGTATATATGGCGCTTGGTGAATGTCCTGACTTAGAAGATATTGCTCCAATATATTAGACAGGGATTTGTTTTTCATTGCTTAGGGATCTCCTGTAGTTATAATTATAGCCAACGGAATAAAGTGAGTGAGCGCAGTGCAGCTGTCTGCCGCATCATGTGACTCGGCTGATCAGACCTTTGAGCGTCTTGTCCAGCACATCCACTCGGTCGCACACCGTCTTGGTGAGGCCCTCCACGATGTCGCTCATCACGCTGAAGTCCGCCACATTGTAGACGTGAGTTTCCTCAGGAGGAGAGGCGATGGCCTTCAGCTCGTTCTCATCAGCATTCTTCACACCTGGAGAGAGACGAGGAGACAGAGAGACAGTGACAGTGATCAGATGGTTATATTAACGAGGTATCCAAGGAAAAGGTCAAAGAATATAGCTTATGATCAGTGGTGTGAAGTAACTGTACCTAAGTACCATTTTTTTAGCATCATGTCTTGAATACTTTTTACTGTATTCTCAAAAATTCATGTCAATGTGTATTATTAGTCTCAGTATTAGTGGAGCATACCAATGGCAAACAGCTCTATCCCAGCCTCCCTCAGGCTCTGTGCAGGGGGGATCACATCATCCTGGGACTTCCCGTCGGTGATGAGAATTCCTATCTTGGGAACACCGGGCCTGGATCCAGACTCGGGTTTGAAGCTGTTCTCCAGGATGAAGGTCAGAGCCAGGCCTGGTTAGAGAAGAGAGGATACATTCAATACAGTAAGACACGGACACTAACCAGATCATAAAATACAATACATGGAAAAGGAGAATTTCATCCTGACAGCATTAAAAAAACTCTTTCAAAATTAAACTTCATTCAAAAAATGTATTTCCATCTTGTTAAATCCTCTAAGCCAAGTTACACTGAACAAAAATATAAACGCAACACCTTTGTTTTTGCTCCCATTTTTCATGAGATGAACTCAAAGATCTAAAACATTTTCTATATACACAAAATAACCATTTCTCTCAAATATTGTTCACAAATCAGAAAAAATCTGTGATAGTGAGCACTTCTCCTTTGCCGAGATAATCCATCCCACCTCACAGGTGTGGCATATCAAGATGCTGATTAGACAGCATGATTATTGCACAGGTGTGCCTTAGGCTGGCCACAATAAAAGGCCACTCTGAAATGTTCAGTTTTATCACACAGCACAATGCCACAGATGTCGCAAGTTTTGAGGGAGCGTGCAATTGGCATGCTGACAGCAGGAATGTCCACCAGAGCTGTTGCCCGTGAATTGAATGTTCATGTATCTACCATAAGCCGTCTCCAAAGGCGTTTCAGAGAATTTGGCAGTACATCCAACCGGCCTCACAACCGCAGACCACGTGTAACCACACCAGCCCAGGACCTCCACATCCAGCATGTTCACCTCCAAGATCGTCTGAGACCAGCCACTCGGACAGCTGCTGCAACAATCGGTTTGCATAACCAAAGAATTTCTGCACAAACTGCCAGAAACCGTCTCAGGGAAGCTCATCTGCATGCTCGTCGTCCTCATCGGGGTCTCGACCTGACTCCGGTTCGTCGTCGTAACCGACTTGAGTGGGCAAATGCTCACATTCGATGGCGTCTGGCACGTTGGAGAGGTGTTCTCTTCACAGATGAATCCCGGTTTTCACTGGTAAGGGCAGATGGCATGTGGCGTGTGTGTCATCGTGTAGGTGAGCGGTTTTCTGATGTCAATGTTGTGAATCGAGTGGCCCATGGTGGTGGTGGGGTTATGGTATGGGCAGGCGTATGTTATGGACGACGAACACAGGTGCATTTTATTGATGGCATTGTGAATGCACAGAGATACCGTGACGAGATCCTGAGGCCCATTGTTGTGCCATTCATCCACGACCATCATCTCATATTGCAGCATGATAATGCACGGCCCCATGTTGCAAGGATCTGTACACAATTCCTGGAGGCTGAAAACATCCCAGTTCTTGCATGGCCAGCATACTCACCGGACATGTCACCCATTGAGCATGTTTGGGATGCTCTGGATCGGCGTATACGACAGCGTGTTCCAGTTCCTGCCAATATCCAGCAACTTGCCACAGCCATTGAAGAGGAGTGGACCAACATTCCACAGGCCACAATCAACAACCTGATCAACTCTATGCGAAGGAGATGTGTTGCACTGCGTGAGGCAAATGGTGGTCACACCAGATACTGACTGGTTTTCGGACCCCCCCAGACCCCCCCAATAAAGCAAAACTGAACATTTCAGAGTGGCCTTTTATTGTGGCCAGCCTAAGGCACACCTGTGCAATAATCATGCTGTCTAATCAGCATCTTGATATGCCACACCTGTGAGGTGGGATGGATTATCTCGGCAAAGGAGAAGTGCTCACTATCACAGAGTTTTTCAGATTTGTGAACAATATTTGAGAGAAATGGTTATTTTGTGTATATAGAAAACGTTTTAGATCTTTGAGTTCATCTCATGAAAAATGGGAGCAAAAACAAAAGTGTTGCATTTATATTTTTGTTCAGTGTACATTGAAATCATGACAAAAAAAAGAAAGCCATTAAAGCAGCCCAGCATGTTTCCAATACTTGTTCTGACATGCCATGATCCAGATGTTTGGGGCAAAGTGACATCTACTGTTAAAATAAAAATCAGAGCCACTTATAATGCTTTTTACAGAATACTTGTGATAGTGAGGTAATCCCTGGCTGACAGTATGATTGCCTCCAGTTCCCCACTGCACCACAGTGAGATGACATGCGATGTCTTGGCTAACAGACTTAATGACCATGATGGTTTAAAGTGTTATTAAGAGCTCGACAAGTGTCAAGTTTAATGAGTGTGTTAACATAATGAGCAGCTAAGTTCTGCTGAGTCCATTAATGACAATATTGATCGTTTATGTTTGAGCCCTGCAGGGTGCTTGAACATCACTTCAGCTTGTTGACCGACACCATTACACACTCTGAAGAAGCAACTCTGGCAGTTGTTACAGTCAAAACAAAGTTTTATGTTGCATCATACTATCTCCACTTAACTGATTTTAGTTGTGTTCTTTGTACTCACAAGCAGCCAATTAGAAACCATGTACTGTTTTACTTTTGATAAACAATGGTTAAAGTAATGTTTAATAAAAAATGGCAGGGTTTTCTCAGACTGAAATATCGAATATCCTTGAGAATAAAGAATATTTGTTGTGTTTTGAAACAACACAAGAAATGTAAGGACGTCACCTGAGCGTTGACTTTGAGAACTGGAATATACTAAGAGTAATCAAAAGTGAAAATAACCGTTACTTTTCAATAATATTTTGGAATATGCTCAATTGTGTTGTAATGCTGTTAAAATTCATTTGCATTATATCTTTGCCAGAATGTTACCGCTTTCAGCTTAGTGACAAAGCATTTTTCACATGATTCAATGGGATACATAAACATTCTAAACTATAAATTACCATAATTTATTTACATTCAACTTAACTTTGTTCATTTTGTATTTCTAACAGGGATACTGCACATTTACTGTTGATTATATGATGATAGTTTTAAAGAAAACATGGACATTAAACCAAAAACACGCCATATGTTAATAATACATTTATTTTCATACTTCTTGAATATGAATGACGCTGCTGTAATGATGTGTGTGTTCACCATGACTAAACTACATTGACCTTCTGACTCTGCTCTAATCAGACCGGTCACAGGTCAAACACTTCAAAGATTAAATGAACTGCACTGAAGTGATTTAAATAAAGCTGAATTATAGGATTGGCTTTAGTCCAAGTCAACCTCTTAAGTGTTATCTGTAAACTATGAAGACCTTTATCAGGTTGTGGCTGTCAGCATACTGTACCTGTCAGTGTGTTCCCTCCTTTATATGGCAGGTTCTTCACAGCATCGATCACAGAAGCTTTGGTGGTGTGAGTGTTAAGGTGCCACTCGATCCTGGGGTCTCCACTGTACTGAGCCAGGCCTACACACACACACACACACACACACACACACACACACACACACACACACACACACACACACACACACACACACACACACACACACACACACACACACACACACACACACACACACACACACACACACACACACACACACACACACACACACACACACACACACACACACACACACAGACACACACACACACACACACACACACACACACACACACACACACACACACACACACACACACACACACACACACACACACACACACACACACACACACACACACACACACACACACACACACACACACACACACAATGTTGATGTGAATGGTCACATGGATAAGACAATTACTCAAACACAGACTCAACATATCCACAAAAACATATTATGATTGGATAAATCGATTGTGAGTTATGAGCATTTCTTTCTAAATCCCGCCTTTTGCATATAAGTTTTGATCAAAAGCGACCATGCTTTTTGATTGATCTTGCTCATTGCTAAGAATAATGTCCATGAATCTCTCCTGATGCAGTATGCCATATTTGGTTTCGATAGAGTCAGAATTGCATTACGATTTAAGTAATTTCACTGTTTTTCACATTATGCTAATTAGCAAACATTCTAGGTAGGTTGACCTTAGTAATGATCCAATTGTATTCACCTGAATATACGCTCAATGTCAAGTCAATCAGACTTACAGTAGGGGAAAAGGTATGTGGTTTTTTAAAACTTGTTTTCAATATGGGGCGCTAAAAGAGCATAGCCGCTAAGTACTTTTCCGTACTTAGTGCCGGCACTTAGTACCCCCATGGAACAAAGTACAGATTGCGTTCACACCGGAATAAGTTCCCTGAGGGAAGATTACGCAAATGAGCCGCTGACGTCACTTCGTCGTCTTCTGTTTTGGGTTTACTGGCAGGCCGCAAACCACTTCACGGTGTATACTGCCACCCGAAGTCCCCGGCCGGAAGTCCCCGGAGTTGGGGACTGGCTTCAGTAGAAGCTGCTGGGACTCCCAGCAGCTTCTACTGAAGCCTTCCGAGTAAATCTCCAGAACACCGACACCTCCTCATCACTCCACCGCTCCCATGTTTTCTTTTGTGTTGCCATAAGTTATTCTCTCTCCGTTGGTGCACAGGGCTAATGCTAATGCTAATAATGCTAATGCCAGCAAATACAAAACTTTTCAGAGTTTTACGGGGCGTGGTTTGCAATTCGCCCAGCCAATAGAAATTGGTACTTTTTTCTCCCCAGGAGAGTACCACCTCTCAGCAGGCCCTAAAAATGGGGGTAAAAGTTCCCGGCACTAAGTACTCTTTGTGGTGTGAACGCAAAATAAGGGGTACTAATGGAACTAAATGGGAAAAGTACGGGGAAAAGTACTCCGGTGTGAACGCGCCTCATGCTAGCAAAAATCAAAGCGCTGGTCCCACATTTTTCGCCATTCCTGATGCCCCTACCAATTTTTGTGAGTTTTAAGTGGTGCTAAGCCCCTCAACAAATGTACATGTAAATGGACATTTATAATAGTCTGACAAAAACAGGACCCGATGATGCTTGGACATCATTTGGTCCTAGAACTTTCGTACTTGGGCCCTAATAAAATGTGATACAAATAATTTTAGACAATAGACTTGTTCAGGCTAAAAATAATTCCCTTTAAATGAAAAAGAAAGCTATAAGTATAGTTGTTTATATAAAATAGTTGAAGCCCAAAAAATGTAAATCTCCTCACCGATCCTGGTCCTGTCAAACTCCACCGAGAAGGCCTTGACCAGGTTTTCCAGGAAAGTCCTGACCAGCCTGAAGTTGATGCGGCCGATACTCCAGGAGCCGTCCACCAGAATAACAATGTCGGCTATGGCTGGAGTCTTACACATAAACTCCTCTTCAGCTAAAGAGAAACAGACAGAAACACACATTTAACTCAAAAAAATGGTCTCGTTCATCATTGGGAATGATGTAAGTAATTATGATGGGTTTCCTGGTGGGGACAGTTTTGGTATTTGCAGGAACATATTGTTTAATTATTCTAAAAAATGAAAAAAGGATGTCAAACACGTGCACAGCGATTCACACAAGATGAATCTGCAGTGGTAAAAGTAGGACAACTTGATGTGTAGCTTCTGTCCCGGAGTTGTTTCATTAATTCCGATTCAGTCCAACTCAGTATAATTAAACCCCGGAGGAGAGAGGTACTTAGTTTTAGCAGATGAAAAATAACAGCCCACTCAGTTGTTTGTCTCTACAGTTTACTGGGTGATAAAACAGAGCAGGCTTTAATGAGGCAACAGCACTTCTTTCACTTATAAAAGCCGGTCCGGCCCACAGTGAGCCAAAGGGCAACCAAATTAGGAAACACATTTCTATCAGCCAATTATCTTTCTCACAGAGCTTAGGACACCCCTGTGACTTTGGGTGGAAAACAACGGAATAGTTTAGGGTGCTGAAATGTATTCCCAGTAGACCCAATAATCGGAATTAATTGACTACTGCTGAAATGCACACAAGCGAGAAAGAGGACTATGCTGCAAAAGTGCACAAAATAATATTAAGTTAAATAAAACTTTAGAAAGTATATGCAATTACATAATGTTATGAACTCAATTCATAATTGACATAACAACTCAAGTGATGGCTGCTTTGTGACATTGTCATCTCTGTGATTAACATTCCAGTCAAAACCCCTTCTTTTGCATCAGTCAATTACAAATAAAGTGCCATAAAAGTTATGCTTGCTGTTCATATGATTTAACGCTTGTTAACCAGAGAAAATAACAATACTTAAATATATTTGTCTAGGTTCATTCACTAGTGATATGGTGGAACACCTGGTAAGATGCCTTGTTTTTTAAGATATATGGTTTTTTTTCAAAACACAATGCCATTATGTGGTGTGTCAAACCATTTGGTTAGTAGGATGCGCCCACACAGTTCTCTCCACATTGCAGGTAAGTGAGGCAGATATTTTAGTATAACTTACTTTATTTTATTTTAATAGTGGGTAGTGTTGGAGTAGAGGTAATATTTAATCTTTTCAGTAGTCCCTTGGGTATTGTGAAGCCCGACCAAGCAAGGAGGCAGAGAGTTCAAATATAACCCGGTGTGGGCATTTAGGAAATCATGGGCACATGATTCACAGCCTCAATATGACTGTTACCTGTGCACATAGTCACCAGCAACAAGGACCTCACCCACACTACCTGTCCACTGACAGGGAAAACAGAGCCTAAATACACACACACTAATCAGGCCAATAAGACACAGGTGGGGGGGAGGAGACAACATAGGGCACCAGGTGAACACAATCACCAGCCAAAGACAAAACGGGAGGGGGAACACTTTCAAACTAAACCACATGTGCAATATTACAAGGCCCGAAGCTTCAGAATACTTAGTTCATACCTGTTACCTTCGTCACAGGTATGAACTAAGTATTCTGAAGCTACATATAAAAATGATTCACAAAGCCAAACTGCTTTTCTTCTCAGCATTACATTTGCACCAATTTTACATCATTTTCTTGTCATTGTTTTTGCCATTCTTGACCAGTCGGTGGCAAAGAATTCAGAAAAAAATAATGAGTGACAGAGAGCGGTAGTGGTTGAGCAAACTACAGTGTGAATGACAAGAGGGCGATACCAACAAAGCAGTAAATCAGAGCAATAACACTTGTTTCATTACAGGTACGTTTGGGTTCACCAAAACCGTTTGGCAAAGTGTCCGAAATAAAATGAATGCAGCCGAAGCACAATATCCAACTTTTGTATGCCCCTTTGCTGATGCCCAGAAACTGCCAGATTTTTCTACTTTAGTGTTTTTGTGCCATTGTTGATCAAAAGTAACCACTTCCTATCTGCTCTTAAGCATTAAATATAACATTACAGCATTACAATCCAACACACAATGAGTGTGAATGCATTGAGAGATACTCTGATGTGAATATTTAAAAGAAAATGAATGGAGGCGTTACTATGTGAGAGCCATGAATGCCCAGCAACCCTTCCTGAATAAATGAATTTCACACTGGATTAAGCAAACAATGCTTTGACTAGACATAAAACACAAGCTCAGCCGCTGAACTTCACTATGTTTTAACTTCTGTGTAAAGTTGACAGATACTTGGCCTGGTGCTACCAGGGTTTGCGCATGTGAGAACTAAACTGTATGTATATCTATACCCTCTGGCACACCATTTTATTTATCCTCCAGATGTATAAGATAATTTTTCATTCAGGTTGCAGCATGTTTTTAAATATTAGTAGGTGGAGAATGAGTGTGTAAGGAGGGATAGCAAGGGCATTCTTCAGCAGTCATTTCATTCACCGTTGACAGGAACTAAGAAGTGTATCACTCCTTACAAGTCTCTACAGTGTCGGAATTTAAACCTCCTTCTCGGTCTACCAGAGGAGTCTCAGTGCCGCACTCCAACACGACTTCAGTGGGCAGATAAAAGAAGCGACATATAACACTTGCAATTACTTCACTTCTCTGAAAAGAATGAGCCTTGAGCTTGGTGTTGATTATCGGTTGGTTGTGCACTGAGCGGTATGGAAATGTATGTTAATTGTAAGGTTGTCAGTGCAATTCACAGACAGCCAAGTAACCTTTTAATTTAAAATGTTGATATATAAGCTTGCTCCTGTGCATGTATCAATACATGTCAGTGGTAAAGTCCCTAAATAAGTTTTCTGGCTTTACCACTGAGATATATTCATGTTTCCAACTACAAAAGCAAACATGACCTATACTTCACAGTGAAGAAGATTGCAGCAATGTAAAGCAATAAATGTGTCAGTTTTGCAGACAGCTGGTTGAAGAGTCTTGATTTGGTAAGATTGTTGGCTCAACTGAGTTGTAATTTACTTGATGCAACTGTAGAGAACAGAAGCTATTGGTGGAAGCACATCACATTCACATTTGTACCTTTGCTTGTTGCGATGCAGAATGATTAAAAAGCGATAATATATTAGTACTATAATGCAACTTTGTTATAAAGTTTTGTTAATAGTTCTTCAAATGTATTCAAAATTGTATTTAAAACCAATGTGGACTAGTCCAACATTCAAATTGAAGGAAGCACAATATTTGTTAAATACTAAATATTAGATAAGATTAAAAATACCTTTTTGATCCCAAATTGAAAAGGTTGTTACAATGGCACATTAACAAGGCATTGTAAATGAATAAAAAATATAATAAAATAAATTGTACATTTTAAAAGGTCTTCTATCATACTATTTGTAGGCATATATTATAGGTCTCAGGTATATACAAATATATTTAAAAAATGTCTATGAAATGTTTTGCTCAAAATACCAAACAGATCACCCATTCTAGCCGTGCCTCATACCCTCTATTTCAGGCCTGTTGGAGAAGTGCTGATTCTGGGTCCGTAGCTTTAAAAAAAATAGAAATTGGAAAATAATTGAAAACAAAGAGGGGGCGGAGCTTATGCAGGATAATTCTACCCAGATACTCAGCTAAACGTTGCCGTGATTAAACGCCATATCATGTTCAAAACAACATCAAGGATTATTTCTGAAACAGTATGGAGCTCAAATGCTTTTTCTCTTGTGGGTTTACTACAAGGTGAGTTCCTTTTTATATCCTGCTTTTTTACCATTTATATATACAGTCTATGTTTTTTACACATACTCTCTCCAGTACAGCGTTAGCTCTGAGTGTTAGCGATGCTTGCCAATGTAAACAAAGACCATATTACTTCCAAAACACATTGCGCATTGTTTCTGATACAGCAACGTTTCTGATAGGGCCGTGGATGTAAAGCCTGCCATATTTCCAATATTACGTCATATCGGCAGCAAATCTGAATCAGCTCTGTTGTACCCCCGTTTTTAGAGATGTGGGTGCGGAGGAAAAGAGAGAGGGTTTTGTTTTCTGACACTTTGAGTCTCCTGACACACCGGGGACACATATTTATGTATAAAATACATCAACAAGTGCTTTTTGCATGATAGGTCCCCTTTAACAATAGATATATACTAGGGCTGTCAAGTTAACGCGTTAATAACTAATTATTTTAACGCATGTGCATTTTTTGTCCTCGGCCGCCCCGTAGTTTCAGAGCGCATCGAGTTTAAAATACCATATACAATCCAAGCACACTGCTGATGCCGACAGCCCCGCTCCTGTCGCCCGCTTTCAGCAGACCACACTTGAAAGTGTGCAGGGGAGACGCCTGGACATGTCTACGAGCAGCACACTTTCAACAAAGATCGCTAAATGGGTGGCTACAGCTTGCAGGCCAATTAAAATTGTGGAGGACGAGGGGCTGCGTGATATAATTCGGGTCGCATCCAACGACTGCACTTATGAATTGCCTTCCAGAGCCACCACTGTGTCGAAAATACACAACCTGTATGAAGTCCAAAAAGCGAAAGTGGAGGATTTAAGAAAGACTTCCACAGTTGCGCTCACCGGAGACTATTGGACTTCACTCAGTAATGACAGTTACCTCGGGGTCACAGCGCATTATTTTGACCCACAGTGGGAACTTCCGTCTCATGCTTTGACAGTTATGAAAACAGAGGAGCGGTATTTCACCGACAACTGCGCCGACACACACACACACACATTGTATTGTATGAGAGAGGTTCCAGGTTGAATTGAGGCGAATATTTGTAATGTTCAGAGGTTGTTGTGTTTAATATTCATGAGAATATTTGTCATTGATCAAATGATAATAAACATTTGCATAAAGCATATTTGTCCACTCATATGTTGATAAGAGTATTCAAAACTTGAAAAATATCCCTTTAAGGTACATTTAGAACAGATCAAAAATATGCGATTAATTGCGATTAACTATTTGAATCGACTGACAGCCCTAATATATATCAAGAGTATAAATGCATATATGTATAGAATATT